AACTGGACTCTATCAAAATCCTCCTCGATTTCATCCTACGGTAACTCTGCTGTAACAACATTGGAAGATGGTTCCTTTTCTCGTCAACAACTGGATGATCTACGGTAGATGTTTGGTTACTTACAAATTCCACCTGCTACTGAGCCAAAGTTTTGTCTACACTGTAACACCCCCAACCTGTACCCGACCCGGATACGAGTCCGAGATGTCACATTGATTGTTTAAAACCATATTATTACAAAATATCAAAACATTTGAACTTATATTAAGAAAATACAATAATATACTGTTAAATTATGCTTCATTATAAAAATTTTAAGGCAAAAATATTTTATGAACAGTAATATATGGTATGAATAACACCGTTAACAGTAATGAATAGTATTATGAATAGTAATGAACAATACCATGAACAGTGCTACAGTGTACCGATGCATTGCTATAGTGTACCGATGCACAAAAACATCGAATATAAATTCTGTATCGATGCAGTGCTACAGTGTACCGATGCGCTGCTACAATACTATTCAATTATATAAAACTCATAAAAATTAAACTTTCATCAGTATAAAGTTACCATTTACATAAACACTTTTAAACCTTTACAAAACTCAATCATATGATTTTACAAAACAGATTAGAGCATATCGGATTCAAATCTTTAATCACGTGCCAACTTTAATTAGTATTACAAAATACATACTATTCAATTCTTTTCTGATCTGATCTTTGGAAAGGAGAAACTGACATGTCTTGCATAACTTTTATCAATCTTCTTCTCGGAACTTACGTGTGAAACAATCACACGCTAAGTCGTTGACTTAGTGAGGCATGAAATCATATGATATTACTCTACTCATATCAATGCATAAACAATTAATACTATCATATCATATAAAAGCATATCTCTCATTGTATAACCTTGCACACATATACATATATCATTAACATGCTTATCAGTACTAATATTATTATCACTAATTCCTTTTTATCATATAAGCATATGTTGAACATTTCTATACACATCATGAAGCATATATATCATTTCACAACAAAGGACACATAACATCATATAATTCATATAACGCATTTCATATCACTAAAAGCATATCCATCACATATATTGTATTTGTTATTATATTTTTATTAGCCCATGGTACACTTGTGAGAACTAAAGATATGTGAGTACATAGAGGGTGTGCACATATGTTGTCACCACAACTCGTATGGGGTCCCACTAGGGGCATATGAAATTTGTCCTGAAGGACCTATGTATTTGTCCCGAAGGACCTCTGTATATTTTATATGTCCCGAATGACCGCGTAGACCCTCGACTCTTGGCATGCCAACTATACCTATAGCTCTTGTATCATATAACATGGGCATTTTTCTTATGCTTTATATATTCATGTACTCATATCATTGCTCTTATGACCACATATTTCTTCTCTTCTATTACATATCACATGTGCATATAATCACGTAGTTTACTTTCATGTAATTCATGTCACTTTTCATATGATTTCATATTCATATATCACATAGCTCGTATCACTTTGCATGGTTTCACATAAACATATGTATCATATCTCATTCATATATATTTCCCATATAACTCATATCATTTGATTCATATCTTATTCTTATATCATCATATATATGTCATCTATGTCCATTCACTTAATCTCATATATTCATATTTCACATAGTACATAGAATAACATGTCAGACATAGCTCATGTATAATGATGCATATAACATATAATCATGTAGGTCATGTCACATAAGAATAACATATAAACTTATACATGTATTCATGTACATACTTTCATATAGTCCGTATATCAATGCTATATAACTTATCTCACAGTTTTACATAATCATTTGTTTCCTTTATACCTATTCACAATCACATTAACATGTACTCACATATATCATTTAACATATACACTCATAAGAATCACATCAATCATATAACATTTTAGGAGTCACTTCTTACCATAGTAACTTCGTCACTGGCTCATCGCAAGCCACTGTTTGATCAATAACATAAGTACAATTAAATTGCACTCACCTTAGCCTTGCTTTGATTCCATCCTAATTCTTTGATTGTTCCGGAACTTGTTTAGGCTCAATATCTACATAAACATAATTTTTGAGAAAATTATCAGAAGCTTAAACCTTATAACTTGATGTTAATAACTTAAGCTAGTTTAATGAACCAAAATTCCATTTTTCCTTTAGGGGTGTACCAATGCACTATGGGTGCATCGATACCCAAAATAGCTTCAAAATTTTCATGCATCGATGTCTTCCGGTGTGTATCGATGCACCTTCAAAATTGGTCTTAGTGCATCGGTACCCATTCATCGTGCACCGATGCACCTGTCAATAATAAACTAGTTTTACCCAAAAATTCCACATCTTTTCATTAAAATTCTCATGTTTCATTCCCTTTTCTGTTCTTAACTCAAGTATATATACTTAAACTAATTTTTACTCATTCAATACATCCTTAACCTCAAAATTTCATATTTCATATGGAAATCAATAATCATACCAAATTTCCAAGATACTCTAAATCTAATTCTATCACTTCATATCTCTTAATTAAGTTGATGACAAGTCAAATTTAGTTTCAAATTTAACTTGTCAACTCTTTTCCAGAAATTCAGTTAAAAACTCATTCTCTTTAATCTGTCATAACTTCTTCATTTTTTGATTTTAAGACAACTTAACCTTTCCTCAAGCTTAAGTATCACCTAAGGATCAAAACCTAACCTTTAATTCAACAAATAATCAACTAATTAAGAAACTCACCTTTGCTTGTATGCTCCACGGTTGGAGAAGAATAAAGGAAGAAGAAGAAGATGAGAGAATTGTGTGGAAACTCATTCCCTCAAAAATGGATTCCACATGTGTTTCCCTTATCTTATAAGGGAAATAAAAATCTTTCATGTCAAATGACCATTTTGCCCTTTAATTCCTTTGATAATTACTAACAACTTTCAGGAAATATTTCCACATAACTTCTTAAACTATTTAACTATTTTATTTTAATCACCAAATTATGAAATTTTATAATTTAGTCACTAACCCGGTATTGATGATGTTACATACATTGTTAGCGAAGGTAGTTCTCCTTTTGCCTCCTTATCATTTTCACTCGAATATGTCTCTTGGATTGTTGATTCCGGAGCAAGTGATCATATGACAGACAACTTCAGTTTATTTTTAATGTTTCACAAAAATGGTATCTCATGCAGTGTTTGGACTACTGTTGGTTCCCTATCATCGGTTAAGGGCAGTGGCTCGGTTCATATTAATAATCAAATTATTTTGTCTAATGTTTTATTTGTTCCAATTTTGACTTGCAATATTCTTTCGATTAGCAAATTATCTACCGATTTGGGTTGTACTTCTCATTTTACTCGTGATATTATGAATTTCAAGATTTGACCTCGGGAATGGTGATTGGCAGTGCTAGGTGTCATGGTGGACTCTACATCCTTGGCGCTCCTCATTATGCTCCCGTTCTAAACCACTCACTCGCACCATTTATTTATTCATTTGTTTCAGTTTCTCCTACAGATGCAACCTCCGACATTGTGTTATGGCATTTTAGGTTAGGTCACCCAAGTTTTCCTTATCTTGCAAAATTGTTTCCCAAATTATTTATTAATAAAAATATCGCATCATTTTCTTGTGAAATTTGTTCTCTTGCAAAACACATTAAGAGCTCTTATCCTCATTCTCCCTCCCGCTCGCCTAAACATTTTTCCTTAATTCATAGTGATATTTGGGACCTTCACGGGTTATGAGTTTAAATGGAATTCGTTGGTTTATTACCTTTATTGATGACCAATCTCGTACCACTTGGACCTTTATTATGAAAGACAAATCTGAGTCTTCTATCATTTTCAAAAGCTTCCACAAAATGGTTGAGACACAATTCCAAAGTTCCATTGGCATCCTTAAATCTGTAATGGTGGGGAATACCTCTCTCAATTATTGGGATCTTTATTCCAAGAAAACATAATAGTCCACCTCACTTGTTATGTCGATACTCCATAACAAAATGGGGTCGTCGAACGTAAAAATTGTCATCTTCTTGAGGTAACCCATGCACTTCTTTTTTTCTTCTAATGTTCCGAAATACCTTTGGGGTAAGACTCTCTTAACATGTACTTTTATAATCAATCGTTTGCCTAGTAAGATTCTTTCCTTTAAGTGTCCACAAGATATCCTTTCCATTAAATTATCTTATTTCAAACCTTTTACCTCTTCTGTTCCACTTAGTGTCTTTGGTTGTACTACCTTGTCCATGACCATAATCCTCATAAATCTAAACTTGATCATCGTGTAATTCGGCGTGTCTTTGTTGGTTATTCATCCCGTCAAAAAGGTTATCGTTGTTACTCTCGTTCTAAAAAATGGTGCTTCACATCTATGGATGTCATTTTTTAAGAGGATAAACCATTCTTATCAAAAACTGAAATCCAGGGGGAGAGTGAATCTGAATTTCAATTTTTACCGATTATTACTGAGTTACCTATCAGTCCATCTTCTAATGAAAAAAACTACCACTCTACAACCTCTTAACACTACCACTGAAAATGAAAACCAATTCATTAATCTCATCGACTCTCATAAAACACCCAGGCCATCTACGATATTCTCACCTACACATATGACCCAAACAAGCCATACATTCCACACCGCAGCCAATGTATTGTCAAGAGCCAAAATAGGGTTTATATCCATCTACAAATAAAGGAGATAATAGCCAAAGTAAGTTGGATGTGGTAATTGATACTAGTGAGTTACCAATTGCTCAGAGAAAGGGAGTTAGACGATGTACAACTCATCTGATTAGTAAATTTTTAGCTTATGGGAAACTAATGTCTGATTTTAAGACTTTCACAACTTAGGTTGATCATATTCACATTCCATAAACCATAGAGGAGGCATTAAAAAGTCATGAGTAGAAGTAGGCAGTTGAAGAAGAAAGTTTAGTTCTAGAAAACAACAAAACCTGGGTCATCGTTGATCTACCTAAATACAAGAAACTAATCTGTTGCAAATGGGTCTTTATTGTGAAATTGAAGGAAGATGGAAAAATTGAGAGATATAATGCTAGACTTGTGGCAAAAGGGTTCACTCAGACTTATGGAGTTGACTAGCAGAAGACCTTTGCTCCATTTGCAAAACTTCATAATGTTCGAGTTCTATTATCCTCGACAGTAAGCAAGCATTGAATACTTCATCAACTAGACGTGAAAAATTTATTTCTCAATGGAAATCTTGAAGAATAAGTTTATATGCAAGTTCCACTAGGAATTCATTCTGGAAATAACCGGGTATGTAAACTGAAATCCTTATTTGGTTTAAAACAATCACCTAGAGCTTGGTTTGATAGATTCACGGAGGTAATATTACAAGACAACTACAAACTGTGTCAATCCGATCACACTCTATTTGAAAAAATTGTTCCATATAAGAAGAAGTCAATCATGATTGTCTACGTTGATGATATCATCATCACCAGTGATGACTTAGTAGAAATTAAAAAGTTGAAGACTTTACTAGCAAAAGAGTTTGAAACCAAGGACTTGGGAACTCTAAGATATTTTCTAGGCATGGAGGTAGAAAGATCATGATAAGGAATTGTCATAAATCAAAGAAAGTATATTCTAGACTTAATTTTTGAAATTGGAATGACTAATTGTAAGCCCTCAGAAACTCCTATAAAAGTTAACTTAAAATTGAGTAAAGATAGAAACCCGGTGAACAAGGAACATTATCAGAGGTTAGTGGGTAAACTCATTTATCTATCTCTAACTATACATGGCATTGATTGTCCTGTTAGTATGTTAGTCAATATATGAATGATCCAAGAGAAGAACATCTAGAGTGTAATTCCCCAAATATCGGGTCAGTAACCATAGTAAAAGGATCAAAAATTTGGTGGGTTAAATTGAGTAAATTGATAAGTATAGGGAAATGATTTAGGAAATTGTGTTTGAGACTTATTATTAAGAACGGAATAATGAAGGGGCAATTGGTTCCTTTAGATGGAATAAATTTAATATTAATTTAAATTGGGTTATTTAATAAAAGTGAATAGGATAAATAAGAGGATAATTTATGGTTCTCTCATCTTCTTCTTCTCATCCTGTGCCCCCCATAGCAAAGCTAAGGTTTCATCTAGTTAGTTTTTCCTTTCGTTTTTGGGTTGTTTTTAAGCCCTAAGTGATATAGTTGCTATGAAAAGTTTTGCTTGTATAACCTGAGTCGGGTAAAGACTATGTAGTTTTTAGTGATGCAGCTCATAACAGATTGGGATGTGTACTTATTCAAGAATGGAAAGTTGTGGCCTATGCCTCGAGAAAACTAAAGACTCACAAGAGAAATTACCTGACACATGACTTGAAATTGACTGCGGTTGTGTTTGTGTTGAAGATTTGGCGTCATTATATGTATGGTGAGCGATGTCATATTTATACGGATCACAAGAGTCTAAAGTATTTGTTGACTCAAAAAGAACTAAACCTGAGGTTATGAATATAGATCGATCTTTTAAAAGATTATTATGTGATCATCAATTATCATCCACGGAAGGCTATGTGATAGCAGATGCACTTAGACAAAAGACTTTTACAGCTTTACGGGCTTTGGATGTACGTAGGTCTTTAAAGGAAGATGGTGCTTTGATTGTTGAGCTTAAGTTAAAGTTGATGTTATTAGATCGGATAAAAGAGCTACAAGGACAAGATGAAAAATGTTTGGCAAGAATGACACAAGTAGAAAAAGGTGAGTCGAAAGACTTCGAAAATAGTATTGATGGATGTTTATATTATCGTGAAAGACTTTACATTCCAGATAATGAAGAATTGAAGAAAAATATTCTTTTCGAGATACATTATAGTCCTTTGACGATGCATCCAGGCGGGAATAAGATGTACCAGGATGTAAAGAGTCATTATTGGTGGTCTGGCATGAAAAGAGTTGTATCAGAGTTTATTGCAAAATGCCTGACATGTCAGCAAGTGAAAGTTGAACATCAAGTGCCTTTCGGATTTCTGAAACCGATATCCATTCCCTAATGAAAATGGGAACGAGTAACAATGGATTTTTTTCAGGGCTACCTTTGACACCTAGTAAAAATGACTCAATATGGGTAATTGTGGACAGATTAATCAAGACATCTCACTTTATTCCAGCTCGAGAAAATTACTTTATGGATAAATATATAGAGTTACATATAAAAGAGATAGTTCGACTGTATAGAGTACATGTTTCGATAGTATCCGACCGAGATCCCAGGTTTACTTCAAGATTCTAGAAGTCTTTGCATGAGGCATTGGGTACTCGATTAAATTTCAGTACAACTTTTCACCCACAGATAGATGGGCAGTCAGAGCGAATTATTTAGATATTGGAGGATATGCTAAGAGGATGCGTGATTGAATTCAAATGATCATGGAAATATATTTTCCTTTAGCAGAATTTACTTATAATAACAATTACCAATCGAGTATTAAGATGGCCCCTGTATGAAGCCTTGTATGGGAGGAAGTGTCGAACACCATTAAATTGGTTTGAGCTAAAAGATCAAGACCTAGTTGGCCCAGATTTAATGAAAGAAATTGAAGATAAAGTGAAGCTTATCCAAGATAAAGTGAAGGTTATCCAAGATAATCTTAAGATAGCTTCCGATCGATAAAAGTCTTATGTTGATCTAAAGAGAAAATAGATTAAATATCACGTGGGGGATAAGGTATTTATGAAACTATCGCCTTGGAAGAAAGTGTTGCGATTTGGGTGAAAAGGAAAGATAAGCCTGAGATTTATTGGACCTTATGAAATTCTAAAAATGGTTGGACCAATAGCTTATCAGTTAGTTTTGCCTCTTGATATGGACAAGATCCAAAATATTTTTCATGTTTTGATGCTCAGGAAGTACTGATCAGATCCATCGCATATCATCACACCAAAGGAAATAAAGATCCGACCATATTTGACTTACGAGGAAGAACCAGTACGGATCTTGACACGAGAAAACAAAGAACTGCATAACAAGAAGATTCATCTAGTTAAAATACTCTAGCAAAATCATAAAGTCGACGAAGCTACTTGGGAAAGAGAGGAGGACATAAGGAAGCAATTTCCACACCTTTTCGCATTTGGTACATCTTAAAATTCGAGGACGAATTTTTCTTAAGGGGAGAATTGTAATACCCCAAATATCGAGTCAGTGACCATAGTGAAAGGATAAAAAATTTGGTGGGTTAAATTGAGTAAATTGATAAATATAGGGAAATGATTTAAGAAATTGTGTTTGAGATTTATTGTTAAGAATTGAAGAATGGAGGGGCAATTAGGTCCTTTAGATGGAATAAATTTAATATTCATTTAAATTGGGTTATTTAATAAAAGTGAATAGGAGAAATAAGAGGATAAGTTCTGAAAGTGGTTCTCTCATCTTCTTCTTCTCGTCCTGTGCCCTCCATAGCTAAGGTAAGGTTTCATCTAGTTAGTTTTTTCCTTTCATTTTTTGGTTGGTTTTGAAGCCCAAAGTGATATAGAGGCTTAAAGAAAGTTCAAGGAGGAATAAAACTAAGAGGTGAATGATTTATTTGAGATGGAATAAAATGGGGTTTTAAGTGATTTGATGAAATAAGGTCAGTTATTGGAGTTTAAAGGCATATTTGACTTGACAAAAAAAGTAAATAAGAGATTTGGAGCCTAAAAAGGGATTAAAAACATGTTTGAAAAATTGGTGTGATTCTTAGTTTTGAGTGTTCTTTGGAGAGTTTTGATATTATAGGGAAATTTACGGATGTAAGTTAGTTGGATTAAGTAATGATGAGTTTAATGGTATGGTTGGTGATATAAGTAAGAGATTTAGACGAAAATGTGGTAAAAATCGAAGTGAAATATGTAAAATATGGGTAAGGGTATCGGTACTAAAAGAACAATATCGATACTATAGGGTTAAATTTAAGGAAAAATGATGAACACGATGAACAATATCGATACTGAAGTGGGGTATCGGTACCAAGAGAAAGGTAACGATACTATTATTGGAAACTGGATTCCAGAATACAAAAATAGTATCGATACTGAAGTGGGTATCGGTACCATAGTATAGAAATATCGATGCCATATGAGGGGTATTGATACTATTAAACCTGGAATTTTAAGTTAGGATGAATTTCTAATAGAATTGAAAATAATAGTACTTTTAAGTATTATTATTTTGTAAAGATGTTAGAAAGTATACTAACATTTGTAATGTATGTATGCTATGGATGCTTGTGTAGATCATAATCAAGCTCCTGAGTCAAGCAAGCAAAAAGCCAAGGATAAAGTAGCTTATTAGTAGGTCTACAATTAAGGCATAATAGTGATAGAAGAATAAAATTGATAGATATTAATTACTCAATCCAACCACTTACTAAATATATGTAACCTAATCCTTAATGTTAGTGTCCAACTATTATATTACTAACAAATGTTGAACGAAATCGAGGTTGGTAAGAATATGGTACAAATCCACATTCCAAGTTTAACATTACTTTTTAACTGCTTGAGTAGCATCCATTAGGTCAGTAAACGAATCAAACAAATATGAACAAGATTATACTTATATTCGTTCATTTAATTTTATTGAATAAATGAACAAATACCAGCAATTAAACGAATATAATTTATTGTTTGTATTCATTCGTTAAAAAATGTTGTTTGTTCGTCTTCGTTTGTTAAATTGTAAATAAACGCAAACGAACATAAATAAATGTAAAAAACATTAAAAGATGTAAGGTTTTTTAATCTATTATAAAATGAGAGGGAATACATATGTGCGTACATATAAATGAACATAAACAAATAAATTATCGAACATTTACGAACAAAAATGAATAAATGATCTCTTTGTTCATATTCGTTCATTTAATTAAATGAACAAAAAAATATTATTCATGATTGTTTGTTCGTTTAATAAATAAAAAATAAATAAATTTCTCGACAAACGATTTACAAAAAATTCACTGAACATTTAATTCGTTTATAGCCCTGACAGTCATTAAGACATATTTTCATAAATAAAATCGTTGAAAGACCAGTTTATATTAGGGTTGTAAATGAGATGAAACAAATTGTGATCTATTCGAGATCGACTCGGTCAAAGCTCAATAAATACTCGACTCTAATGGACTCTAGTCAAGTTCGAACTCGAATTCTTAACGAGCCGAAACGGGCTACTTGATACTCAACTCGAAAAGCTCGTGAGCAGCTCAAAAATATATATTAAGATTTTTAAAAATAAATTATTAATAATATTAACATTTATGTGTGACTTTTTTTAAAAATGCAATATAATGTATTCAATATTTAAGGTTTTAGTTTGAGTTTGAGGATTTAATTGAGTTAAGTTTAAGATTTTTTTCTTTTCATTTTGAGCTTTTAGAAGCTTCAGTTCTTAATTTCAAGTTTGAGTCGAGCTTGAAAATTTCAAACTCGCAAGTTTTTTAGTCGAGTCAAGCTCTATTTCAGAGTTTTCGAATATTGATGAGCTCTACTCGGCTCGTATACAGCCCTAGTTCATATTACTATATTGGACGTATTCCGACAATTTTCATATAAAAAAATTTCGAATTCATGCATGCCTTCTCATTAGAGTGTTCAAATTATGATATCGGATCTTATCCTATTCGAAAATTTGAATATCTGAAAATTTTAAATACCTAAAATAATTATTTGTATTCAATTAAAAAAATTGGATATTTGAATTTTTGAATATCCAAAATTTTGGATCGGATATTTGAATCTGAATATAAAATTTAAATTTGACAAAAAATAGTTTTATATTTTATATTTCATGATTTTATATAACTTATTAGATACATCTACTATATTATATATATATACAATAAATAATTAAATATTTTAATTTTTATTGGGTTATAACTTTAATGTGTTAGTGAGTTGCTTTTATTGGGCTAAATTATCTAAAATCTAAAAGCTTATTTTTTTTTATTTTCGCATAATCTAAAATTAAAATTTATTCGATCCATTTATAATTGGATTATTCAAAAAGAATTTGAACATTCGATACGAATTATCCAAAAATAAAAAACCTGATTGAATATCTAAATTTTCATATCAAATAACTGGATCAACATATTAAATTAATCGGATGGAATGTTTTCGTATACTCCCTCCTTCACATAGCTTAGGCCATCTCCAACCCTCATCTCTACTCCACAACATCTCTATCTCTACAACATCTCTATCTCTACTCTATAACATCTCTATCTCTACTCTATAACATCTCTATCTCTACTCTAAAGATGAAACAATAATTCATCTCCAACACTATCGCTACATTACTACAAACTCTACTTTATTCACAATATTTAACTATTATAATATTAATTTTACAAATATAAAATAAAAACATATATATTTCTAATAAATATCAACATAAAAAACATAAATCAAACATTCATAAATAACAAATAAAATTAGAAAAAAATGTAACGCAATTACAATTACTAGTTGTAGCGTTGCACTGTAATTAAAGTATTATCTCTACTCTAAAGTGATTATGGACTAGAACATTATTTCTACTCCAAAATGAAAATTTTCTTTATTCTAGCTATGCGTTGCATTGGTGTAGCTCCTCAAAACCGATTGAGGTGAATAGATCCAAGAATTACACTAGTCGGACATTGCAAAAAAGGGAGATTGGTATTTGAAATTCAGCCCCTCCCATCTTTCTTATTTCGGATAATATCTCAAACTATTTACTGCAACATATCTGCTGTGGACAGCTGAGAGAATTTAATTCATGTAATGAAGACAAAAGTTGAACAGCTTATTTCTGATGGGATTACCTGACTGTCACTCTGTACAAAAACATTATGATTATTCTTCCCCTGTTTTCAATGTCAAGGACGTTAATATCACCAAAAATTTACATTTCACAGGATGGATATTCAAAAGGCAATATTTAAGGGTCTTTTTTCTAGAATATACCAAAAAATAATTTATTATTAATAAGAAAATAATCATAATTGAATAATTTTCCACTTCATTTGCAGATAAGAAAATATATAAATAATTATTCATATATTTTATGAAATTAATATTAAATTTTTCTAACAATATAAATTTATAATAATTATTTATAATAAAATTTAAAATTTGAGTTATTTAAATATAAATAAATATTAGGAGTATAAATTTTACATTATATTCTATCATAAATAATTTAGAACAATTAATTAATTAATTGAAATAACTAAAATTTTAGTGGGATACCGAATATGTAGTTTACTCTTTATTTAATTCTATTATTGAAAAGTTAGAAACAAATTTACATCTAAATTTACTTATATTTCTTTCAAATTCTCTTACCTTTTTAGATGAGTTCAAGCATAAATGAAGTAATTCATAATTGTGCACGTTCTTTAATTTCCACAAAGATGGTCGAGTTCATAATACATCACAATACAGCCAGCTCTAACATAAATAATTATTTTTAATTAAATAAATAATTTTAATGATTTGATAGAATGTAAGTTTTTATAATATTTATTTTCAATAATTTAAATTTATATTTTATCATAATTAAATATTATAAATTTATTTTTTAGAATAATCTAATAGTAATTTTATGAAGTATATAAATAATTATTTTTCATGTTCAAATAAAGTGAAAGTTACTTATCTTTAATTTAACAAGTTCATAAATTAATCCATCTATTTTTAAAATTTAAAATTTAACTGTTAATATCATTAATATTTTTGTTAAATTCACGCCTTATAATATTATTTTTATTATTTGTCACATTAATATTTTTTATTTTAATATTAATCATTAAATTTAAAATTTATTTTTTAAAAAATAGAAAAATATATTTTAATTGTACAATGAATATAATGACATAAAACATGTTGTATTTTTATATCTTGATTTCAAATATGTTTTTGATACTAAAGGGTGGTTTGATTCATAGAATGTAAGATTAACTATAGGAATAAAATTATCGAAATGTTACATTACTTACTATGTTACTATGAATGTTGTTCTTTCTTGTTTTATTTATTTGATATGAATGTATGATTATAGTATTTTAGTTGAAGGAATATAAGATAAAAAAAAATATATGTTTTATCAAATTATCTTTAAATATATATTCTTTTTAGCCAGATGAATTCTTAATAATAAAGTCAAATCTTTAAAAGAAAGTTCATAGAATATATATATATATATATATATATATATATATATATATATAAATAAAACTTTTACACAAAATTTTAATATATGCTTTTTATTATTTTAATTTTTTATTTCTTTAAAAATATATAAACATATGTTGAGTTAATCGATCTACGGAATCGGCCAAGAGGGGGGTGAATTGGCACTTAAAAATTTCGTGGAAGCTTTTGCAGAAAATTTAAAGTAATTGCACAGCGATTTATAGTGGTTCGACTTTCTCAAACAAAGTCTACGTCCACTACCTTAGCTATCCACACTAAGGATTTTCCAACAAATTCACTAATTTGTACTTTCTTTTGAGGCCAAAGAGATAACCTTACAAAATCCCTCAAGAGTATAACCCAACTCTTGAGAACACTCTTTTTCCCAAAGAGAAGATTACAAATTTGCAAACTTACAAGAAAACCTCACAAGGTAAGATGTTTGCACAATTCTAGAACAAAGAAAAGAACACTCAAGGATAAATACAATTGAGTACAAAAGTGTTCTTGAAAGCAAATGAATATTGGATGAAAAATAGGCTTGAAATACTCAAACTTGAGGTTTGATGCTTTCTCTTTGATTCTCTCTTGATTCTAGTTGATTGATGTTTCTTTTTCTTGATCAATGGCTCCAGAACTTGTTTAAATACCCCTTGAATCAATTCTGAACGTTGGTGATAATTAGTGGGGATAATAGAGCCGTTTAAGTGTGAAAACAATTAATTTTTCTAGGTGGAGCGTCTCATGCATCGATGCATGATCAAGTATGCATCGGTGCATTCGTGTAAAATTCAAATATTTTGACCGTTGGAACACTTGATGCATCGGTGCACCAAGTGTGCATCGATGCATGAAATGCATTCGATGTTTGAAAAATAGCCTGATGCATCGATGCATGGCTTGTGCATCGATGCATCAAATGCATTCGATGTTTTGAAAATATTCAGAGTGCATCGATTCATGGAGAGTGCATCGGTGCATGGAATGCATTCGATGTTCAATTAATTCATTGATGCATCGATGCATGTACTGATGCATCGGTGCATGCCTTTGAATAATTGATTTAAGGCTTGTTTTGGTTCAAATACTTTGTGAAAATTGTTTCAAAAATAGTTTAAGTACAAATCACAATTTTACACATTTAGTAAGGATTAAAATTGATCTTGAAAAACTTGGAGTAATAATTTGATATTCGGTTAATTGAATCGAATATAAAATTGTAAAATCATTTGTAAATCTTAAAATTCATTTAACTTAATTTGTTATATCGAAATATCAAAAATGTTTTCAACAATCTCCCCCTTTTTGATATAACAAAACATTTGAGTAATTTTAAGATTTGTTTAAGAAATTATTTTTGAAATCGATTTTGAAAAACTTACTCCCCTTACTATAGCACATCTTAAATTTTCTCCCCCTTTTTGTTAAATCAAAAAACTCTATATAAACGTTTTAAACAAGAATTTTGAAAAACATTAGCCAATTGATATATTAATAATAAGCTGCTAAGATCACAATCAAAAGAGAAATTAACCATTAGTTTTCATAAACAATATTCATAATAAAATGTGAAATGGCATAATTGGTCATATATCTAATGATGCAAAATGAATAAAATTCAAACCAAATATATTAAAATTAAGTTCAAACATTCAAGCATCCAAACATCCAAACAAACATAAACATTCAAATCAAAAAGTTTAACAATCCAAGTTCTTAAAGTTTAAAACCAAATATCATCAAATAACGTTTAATCATCCATAGCGGAATCGGGAGGAGGAGGAGGATAATGAGCTCTAACTTCAAGAGTAAGAGCATCCATACGATCACGCATCTCCCTCTGAAACTCAGTTATCGTATACTCCATGGAAGCAAAACGCAGATCAAACGACTCTAGAAAAGATTGGAAATAAGGTGGCGTTTGATCATCTTGCCGAGCTGGTACTTCCTCGTCAATATCTCTCATAAGCCTTTGAAGCTCTGGATCATTATCAGCGTCAGGAGCTGGAGGAGGAGGAGGAGCACGAGAAGAACTAGGAGCAGCTCGTGAAGAACTAGCTCCCGGGGTTTGCTTACCGGGTCGAAAAGACCATAGTCCGGTGTTCTCATCCAATTTCCAATCCGATTTCTTTAAGGATGTGATATTGATTGGGTTTTGGAGCGGAATAGGATTGTCAAGGGAGACATCTAGACCGAGTTTGATAAACAAATTGCTTAGTAGACAACCATAAGGTAGGGTTTCTACATGCTTTGAGGGAATGATGTTTATGATATCGACAAGCGCGCTAAAGACAATATGTGGAAAATTGATTTTCTTTTTGTTCTTTATACAGTGCATCCACCATAAGTCTGTAGTACGTAGTGTGGAGTACCGACCTGCGGATGGTCTAAACCACCAAGAGATCATTAAGTGAAGAAATCGATCGTGGTGAGACTAAAGGTACTGACACTAGCATTAGGAAGATATGGATTCCACATCTTCCTTCTCATTAAATAAACCCTCGTCATCTAAACCAAAATGAGATGCGATGGATTCAGAAGTAATAGTGATATATTGTCCTAAAAGATAGGATCTAATCGCTATAGTATCGCACTGAGTTGTGTTCTGAATACAAACCGCATTGGAATAAAAGATGCGGACAAGTTGGTGAAAGACGATGGGTTGAAGAGAAAAGAGTTTATCAAACTTCCATCGGCGAAGAATTGAGAGGTATACAAATTCAAGTTTTATCATAGCTTGTAGAGAAGGAATACGCTCTTCCCTAATACGATAGGATTGGAAGGAGTTCATGTACCTAGAGTATAATTCATCCCTACGGTTTTCAGGCATGTTAAAACAAGTACTAATGAGGGATGAAGGAATATTGGATGGATTTTGAGGTCTCGGAGCGGGAGGACGGTTTTGGTGAGACCGACTCGAGGATGATCTAGGGCGTTTGGGATTAGACATGGTTAGGGAAATCGGAAAAGAAATATCACCTGCAATTTAAAAACACATGTATGCACAAAATTCAATCCCAAAACTCAAATGAGTCCTCAATAATTCAAGGTTCTCTAACATAATCCTAATGGGCAAAGTTTTGAAAAACTATTTAAAATTAATATCATAATACGCATAGTTTTCATGAAAACAACACAATTGAATCAATAATTTTCGAAATAATTTTTTTTTAATTCGAAATTTCCAAATAATTTTGAAAAATTATGCGTTTTTGATGAAATTCGTTGTAGAAACTAGTTTAGAATCATCATATAACCAATGCCCGATAATTATTTCAAACTAGAACTAATCTAAACGAGTCCTAAGTTCAAAAATTAATAAAATAGAGTTTTTGAAAAATTACCTTGAAAAATTCGGATTGAGGGGAATGTAGAGATGTTTTGAGCGATTTAATGATTGTAGCAGGTTTGTAGGATAAAAATCTTGAAGAATCCGATGATTTCCCAAAGGTTTTGAGCAAAATGGAGATTTAGGATGAGAGGGGGATGAACGGTCGGTTTTAGAGAGTTTTGGGGTTTTTAGAAAAATGAAGAAGATGAAGCATTTTAACCTAAAACCCGACGGATGCATCGGTGCATGGTCTTATGCATCGATGCATATTCAAGGATGCATCGATGCATTGTTAAATGCATCGGTGCATGAAACGCAAAAATGTCAAAAATCCATTTTAAACACTTAAAATGCTAAATAATTTGGCTCTAATGGTAATGGCAACTCATATATATCAAAAATTAATTATGTTCAATCAATCAAATTAATCTTCAAAATTTATTTGAACATAAAATTAATTTTTATTAAGAATCATAAACTCCCCCTAACTAATAGCAAGAATACAATCAAAAATTATTATTATAAGCATTTTTCAGTATTTATTAAAAGTGCTAAATTATTTTAAACACTAAGTGAAGATAGGTCAGTTAAACCTAATTCTCTTCTAAGTGTCCAAAATTTCTTTATCTAAGGGTTTTGTAAAAATATCCGCTAATTGGTGCAAAGTATCAACAAATTCTAGAACTACATCTTCCTTAGTGACATGGTCTCTAATGAAGTGATGTCTTATTTCAATGTGTTTAGTTCTAGAGTGTTGGATGGGATTTTTAGTGAGACAAATAGCACTAGTATTGTCACACTTGATAGGAATAGTACCTACTTCAATTCCATAATCAAAAAGTTGTTGTTTCATCCATAAAACTTGTGCACAACAACTACCAGCTGAAATGTATTCGGCTTCAGTGGTAGATAATGCAACACAATTTTGTTTCTTTGAAAACCAAGAAATCAGCATATTTCCAAGGAATTGACAAGTACCGGAGGTGCTTTTCCTATCTAATTTGCATCCTCCATAATCCGCATCAGAAAAGGCATGCAAGCTAAAGCTAGAGTCTCTAGGATACCAAAGTCCTAAACTAGGAGTGTCCTTAAGGTATCTAAAGATTCTCTTAACAGCTAGTAAATGTGATTCCTTAGAACATGATTGAAATCTAGCACATAAGCAAACACTAAACATAATGTCCGGTCTACTTGCAGTTAGATAAAGCAAGGAGCCAATCATTGACCTATATAATTTAACATCTACACATTTACCTCCTTCATCTAAGTCAAGCTTTGTTGAAGAGCTCATTGGAGTGTTATGAGGTTTCCCATTTTCCAGTCCAAACTTCTTGAGCATATCTTTGACGTACTTAGCTTGATTAATGAAGATGCCATCTTTTCTTTGCTTGATTTGGAGTCCCAAGAAAATGAGAGCTCCCCCATCATGCTCATCTCAAACTCACTTTGCATTAGCTTAGAAAATTCTTGGCAAAGAACATCATTAGTAGAACCAAATATTATATCATCAACATAAATTTGAACTACTAATAAATCTTTACCTTTTCTCTTTAAAAACAATGTAGTGTCAACCTTTCCTTTTAAAAAATCTTTTTCAATTAAAAAATTTGACAATCTTTCATACCAAGCTCTAGGAGCTTGTTTTAAACCATAAAGAGCTTTTTTCAATTTTAAAACATGATCCAGAAAATTTGAATCTTCAAAACCTGGAGGTTGTTCCACGTACACTTCTTCTTTTATAAAACCATTTAAAAATGCACTTTTAACATCCATTTGATATAATTTAAATTCATTGAAACATGCAAATGCCAATAACATTCTAATTGCTTCCATCCTAGCTACGGGAGCGTATGTTTCATCATAGTCTATGCCTTCTTCTTGAGTATAGCCTTGAGCAACAAGTCTAGCCTTGTTCCTTACTATATTACCACTTTCATCAAGTTTATTTCTAAAAACCCATCTAGTACCTACAGTAGATTTATTACTAGGCCTTTCAACTAATGTCCATACTTTACTTCTCTCAAATTGATTTAATTCTTCTTGCATAGCCATAATCCAATGTTCATCTTTTAATGCTTCTTTGATGTTCTTAGGCTCTATGCATGAAATAAATGCAACATAATTACAGATATTTCTAAGAGAAGATCGAGTAGTTACCCCTTTTGATGGA